TCTGATATTTCATCAATTTTTGTTATTAAATCTGGTACAGTTGGTTCTTCTTCAGCCTAAATGTATTTTTTATTTTAAATAAAAATAAATTCAGAGAACAATTTTATTATTATTTTCTATACCGCAAAATGAATTAAATTTCTAACTTCTTGTCCAGTAAATTGATTTTGTGGTTGTAATTCATCAACAACACGATGAGACATTCCTTGTTTAGCTATTTGTCTATCATAGATACGTTTTTCCATTGTAAAATCTGCTATTAATCGATATATATAACAATGTTTTTTTTGTCCATAACGATAAATACGACAAATAGCTTGAGCATCAAGACATGGATTCCATGATACATCCATTACAATTACTCGATTTGCACTAACTAAATTTATTCCAAGACAACCAGCTCTGATCAAAGAAAAAAAAATACAAGTTTTTAAATGAAAATTCGACTGTGAATTTTTTTTTTGTTTACCTAGTCGACAGTAAAAATAGTTTTGCATTAGAATTCGGAGCATTAAATGCATTTATTAATTTTTCACGTTCAAGAGAATTTGTACTACCATCAAGTCCTAAATAAGATGAATATAAAATTGAGATTGTCATTTACTTTTCAATATTTTTTTTTATCAGAATAGATAAAAACTAATTAATAGTTTGCAACCATTGCATCAAACTATTCAAATATTTGAAAATTAACTGTTATTCATGTGTAACTATTGTCGGCGCGAGATTTAAAGGTACTTGGTTAATAATTGAATAAGTCGAGAGGACAAGTAGTTAGCAATCGATGCTTTTTAACTATCGAAAAAGAAAACATGGGAACATCTTTTTCTTTGACAATATATAGAATCAATTCATTTTGAAGCCAATAGTCTCCGCAACACATTTCAACATATCAATGAAAACAGTCTGTTATTCCGATGAAATTTTAATAACAAGTAAGAAAATTTGCTTAAAAATCAACAGAATTCTATATTATTCATTTAGATCTCAAGTCTTTCTATCTATGAGGTATGCCAAAATCAAAATTTCATCAGAATGACAGACCATTTTCATACATTTATTTGAATGTTTTGCGAAAATTATTGATTTCAAAATAATTTCTCTCTATATATTATCATTTCAATTGTTAACTGAGCATCTTCAAATCTCGTGCCGACATTAAAAAGTAGAAAATGTCGTTTTATGTAAGACTCAATTCATCAATCGAACGATTTATTGAAACATGTTATTTACTTGATTCTTCAATTTTTTTTTGTACAAACGGTAGTCTCTTACTTCATTCTTTTTGATGATAAAAATCTGAGAACTCTCATTTGTTCCTATCACAAAAAAGTTCTAATTTGAAATGAATATGAAAGATTCCAAAATCATTTAAATACTTCCAATAATATGAAATAATATACAAAGTAAACGAACTCACAAATTGAAGACTATTATATTCAATCTAACGAAAACAATAGATTTTAAGAATTTGTTGAAGCTTATTACACTTTCTAAAGCTACAAATTTCAATTGAGATCTTTTAAACATAATGTCTCTATATACTGATCTATTTGAATGTTTGACTTACGATAATAATTAAGATTTTTCTGCCATTTTTGTTCTGTATCAGGTATTTGACGTTGACTAAGAAATTCTTCTAATTTATTTAATGATAATAAACTTTGACTAAAATAATAAAAATAAAACACAATAAGAATATCAATTAAAGAAAATTTTATTTACCTAAATAAAAGAACTTTATCACCAGCTTTAATTGATAAATCAATAATTGTTAAGGCAACTTCAAATTTAATACCATTTGATAATTGACCACAAATATAAGAGTTTAAAATGGAATTAGCCTTATATTTAAAAATGAAATCAATAAATAAAAAAGGAGAAAGAAGATAAGAGATAAAAGATAAACTTACAAAATCATAATCAAATTCTTTTTTATCTGTTAAATACATCGATGTTTGTCCTTCATAAATCTGATTCATAGCTGTTGTTGTTGGTAATGGTGATATAGGTGATACACGATTATTTAAAGTTAAACGATTATTTGATTTTGTTTTCGTCGTATTAGAATTTTGATCAATTTCTAAATCTAAATCAACATCAGAACCATCTTGACGATCTCGAACAAATTTATATAAAACATCAGCATGATTCCAAATCTATTTTAAACAGAAAAAACAAATCTTTTTTTTTGAAATAAAATTTATTGTTGTATTTTTACTTTACAACAGATAGCAAATGCTCTTAATGGATTAAGTGTTCGTTCAGAAGAATTTGATAAAGCACCAACAGCTTCAAGAAATTTCATATACAATTGTCGTTGAACACTTGATAATTTAAGTAACATAACATATTCAGTTTTAGGTGGTAAATCAGCTTGAAGAACATCATGGCCTCGTCTATTATTTGAATATTCATTTTTTTAAATTTTTATAAAAGATGTGTAAAGATGGAGTATTACCTTTGAATAAAACCTTCAAGTAAACTATGTAGAACATGAGCACGAGCACGCATTATTTGCTCATCTTCACTTGTTGAATCAACACATTGACCATTTATAATAGGACGCTCAAACATATTACAAAATTCTTGTTTACTACCAAGATAATTAGGACGAACAAAATCAACCATACACCAATATTCTGAATAAAAACAAACAATTACATATATATATCTTAAGAAATGTTAATGTCTATAGGGGTAGAAATTTGCATCTACTCTCGCCCTCACAGATCATGACAGAGAAACTCCATACCCGCCACAGTTCGTGACAGACGAGTTTCAGAGACCATCACAGACTCTAACAAACCTTTGGATACATGATTACCGATCACATATCAATAGAATTTCATGAGAATATATCAACTGCTTCCTTATTGCAGTTCTAGAGGATTAAGTAAAAAATGATGACTAGAATGGGTCTAAAGATTGAGAGAATAAAACAATATTCGCGTGATTAGTAATAACAGCTATGTCATGTTCCACTTTTTAATCTCATAGAAATTACGCTAACAGCAGTTTTTTATGAATATGGAGCAAATTCCAATTGACATATGTCTGAAGAAGATTAGAAACAAAAACATTTAATTTCTTATCAAACATACCAATGAGATTATTTTGTAGTGGATAACCAGTGAGAACAATTCGTCGTCTATAATATTATGAAGTATTAAAAATTAATTCATACTAATTTTCAAAATCTTCATACTGTGTTTTTATTAATTTTAATGCCATTGCAACACTAGCTTGATGATTTTTAATTCTATGACCTTCATCACAAATCACAAGATCAGAACTAATTAATGCATTTCTTATATCTATGTGGAAAATCAAACATTATTTTCATATATCTTAATAAATTTTTTTACCTTCCATTGTTTGCAAAATTTTTTCATTATCTTCAAGAGCTAAAGTAAGGGATGTCGATGGACTAGATATATTCACTTTTTTATTATAATTATTACTTTTTATTAATGTTCCTGTTTGTGAATATTTTTTTGTTACCATTAAACGAAACATTTCATAACCAATAATAAGTGTTCCACCGGTTTGTGACCAATTTTGTACAATTTGGGCACGTTGATCAAATTTTTTTGATATTTCATTTAATATATACAATTGAAATGAACGTTTATATTCAATATTAGGATCATTTAATGGACACCAGCGATTAAATTCACTAGCCCAATTTTGTATTGTATTTATTGGTACAACAACAAGAACTGATTTTGCTGTTGTATAACGTAATAAAGTATCAATAAATGTAATTATCTAAAAATAAAAAGACAACAATTGTCATATAATCAGAATGAAATTTATATTTCTGTTTTACTTGTAAAGTTTTCCCACAACCCATTGAATGTGCAAGAATACAACCAAGACCAGGTGTTGTTTGAAAACGTTGAAGAGATTCAACGATATTATCATACATAAAACGTATGCCACCGATTTGATGAGGTTTAAGAATAGAACAAAGATGTTTTGGTATATACAAATCAGGATCATCACTCGGATGATTTATATTAATTAATATATTACCTATATGTTTACAAAAATAGTATGTTATTTGTTATAAATATTTATTACCATTATGATCTGGTATATTAACACGATCATCAACATGTAAATGTTGGAGTCTTTTACTTAATTTATCATTTACAAAATCAGTATCACCATTAATAGATTGAACATCAGAATCACTATCATCATCACCATCATCATTATCGACTCTTCTTGTACTTGTATCTATATATGAATATATTTAAATTTCTGATATTTTGTCTTTTGTAGATTTTGATAAAAACAATAAATAAGTTCTAAGATAAGTTGACTAAATTAATTCGAAACTTAACAAGTTTTTAATGAGATTATTCTTAGAAAAGTTCAACGATTTTTGATTTCTAAACAGACTAATATACAAGACATTTTAAATTTCGTATCTCAAGCAAAGTAATATAACGATTAGTGTTTTTTCAAAATATAAAATTATGTTAATGATTAATGTGAAATTTCATTTAATATATTTTATGTACTGTTTGTCTATAATCGGAAACGTATACGCCATGAAATTTTAAGTAGAAATCAAGACTATCTAAAATTTCTATCTCTTTGAGAGATATTATAAAAAAGAAGGTTTTTAATAAATACTTAGAATCGTAAGAAAAAGAAATCAATTTGTAGCTATCAAATTATTGATCATAGTAGAAATTCAATCTATGATGATATAGATTAATGTTGTTTTCTAAAAATCAACTAATTCTTTTTTGTTTTTCTATAGTAATTAATTCGAAAGTGTCATTTTCTAATTTTCGAAAGTTTGGAATATCTCTGAAAGCTTCAGAAAAGAATTGACAACAACTGTTATGAAACACAATTGTTAATAGTAATTGAATTACAATACGAAG